CGGACTATGAGCACTTCATGCAGCACCGGTACCCGCCCGACACCACCTACGCAGACTTCGCACCTCGCTTCACTGCCCGCGACTTCCAGCCCCGCCAGTGGGCCCAGCTCTTCCGGCGGGCTGGTGCCAGGTCAGCTTTGGGTGCCGGCCTACGGTGGTTGGGGTCCTGGGGGGCATGAGTGCCACACCTGGGGGGCCGTGAGGGTGTGTAGGAGCTATTTCTGGGGATCTGTGAGGACATGGGGGTCCCTGGTCACTGAGTGGATGGAAGGAGCCATGTCTGGGAGTCGCTGAGGGGATGGAAAGGCCCAGAGGGGATGAGGGGGCTGTGCCTGGGCTCCCCAGGAGGATGCTGGGTTTCCTGAGTGGATGGCAAGGCCCAGAGAACATGGGGGACCTGTGTTTGGCATCCCCAGGAAGATGCTGGGGTCCCTGAAGGGATGGAAGGTCCAAGTCTGGGGATCCCTCAGCAGTGCTGGAGATCCCTGAGGGGGCATGCCCACAGTGCTGAAGAGATGATGGGTCTTCCTACTTCCTAAGTCTTGGTTGTTTATTCTTTTACAGCATTAAAATCAATTAAAACTTGCTATTATTCTTGTAGGTATTTCTGAATTTAAAGGGTAATTAAATAGGACTGCTCACAGCATGGTTATTCGGTCCCTTGCTTTCTTAGTGACTGGATCTGCCTGTGAGGCTGGGGAATACCTTTGGTAGGGCCTTTGTCATGCTGATCAAGTACTTCTTTTTCCTTCAGGTACGTGGTACTGACCACGAAGCATCACGAAGGCTTCACCAACTGGGGGTCACCTGTGTCCTGGAACTGGAATTCTGTGGATACAGGGCCCCGCCGTGATCTCGTAGGAGAGCTGGGACAAGCCCTTAGGGAGAGGTATGGCACTGCCAAACTGTGCTGTTCCTTTCATGTTTGTGCATTGAAATCCCCTGGCTGTTCTTAACAAACAACGGAAAATGATGAGTTTAATATGAAAAAAGGTAGCACTTACAAAGTCTTCTGTGAAATAATAATGCCAGTGCTGTAATCTGTCACTGGTTCTTAACCCCTACTGCCAGCCTAACTCTTTCCTCTGTGTTTTCTGTCCTTCAGCAACCTACACTATGGGCTGTATCACTCTCTGCTGGAGTGGTTCAATCCACTCTATCTAGCTGACAAGGAAAGTGGCTTCAAGACCCAGAACTTCGTCTTAAAGAAGACAATGCCAGAACTTTATGATCTTGTCTTAAAGTAAGAACTGCATGCAGTTAGGAATCCAGAGCATTTCCTGGTTTCAGTACTGTACGGAAAGGTGCAAAGTGGATGCGGGAGGAGGGGTGACCAATGTCAGTTTTTGCCAAGGCAAATATCTTTTCCTGTGATTTGCAGTAATTAGAAAAGGGGTTCATATGTGCCCTGTAGACAGTCTATTGTCAATCAATTTTCATGCAGGAGCAATGCCCTTTAATGCTGCCTTTGTGCAGAGTGGCTTTGAAAGTGAAGCAAGCTGCTTAGTATGTAGTAGAGTAGAATAGCAATTTCACTGTGAATTTACACCCTTGCCTTGCTTCCCCTTGTTGACAAAAATACGAGGCTTGGACTCATGTTGCTCAGAATGGCTGTTGTCTCAGGTCAAGAACGTGCCTTTGAGATGCAGTCTTCTGGGTTTTGGAAGAATTGCATCCTCTGTTGAGCTTTGATCAACACATCATTCTTTGCTGCTGCAAAAACCTCACTTGAAGCAGAAGGCGATAGCATAAACCTCCTGGTAACGTCAGGCAATAGGAAGAGGAAGTGAAACTACACTCCAGGTGCAAGATGCACAGTGCTTCCTTCGTGGTAGGAGAAAATAAGCCATTTTGAAATAACATTCATCTCTCTGTTAGATATAAACCAGATTTGATTTGGTCGGATGGAGACTGGGAAGCTCCGGAGTCGTACTGGAATTCTACCTCTTTCCTTGCCTGGCTTTATAACGATAGTCCCGTCAAGGTATTGCTTTCAGCTATCCCTCATGGCCACTGGCATTTTATGGGTAGGGAAGGTCTGGCAGCAGTGAGATATGAGTGTGATTGAATCAGAAACCCGCCTGACAGACACCAGATGTGCCTTATTTCACAAAAAATAAGCAGCCTACACTGTGCTCCTAGGAGAAGACTCTAGTGTCCTTTACGGCACACGTGTGGGAGGCTTAGAGGCCAGAAACCTTGTTGCCTCGACTTCTACCTGAGTGAGTAGAGAGAGGTTCTCCCAGGGAGGGATTCAGCCTTCTCTGGAGGATGCTCTCTCCCTTTCCATGGATTACACAGGGGTTTTAGGTGCTTACCTCCTAACTTAGGTGCCTTTGCTAACTCAGGAGGGTTGAATGCAAGCTGAAAAGTCCAAGACAGAACATTTTCCCTACTGAGCTTCGTTTTTTCTTTCAGGACACTGTTGTTGTCAACGATCGGTGGTGTAATAACTGCTCTTGCCATCATGGAGGCTACTACAATTGTGCTGACAAATACAAGCCAGGGACCCTGCCAGCTCACAAGTGGGAGATGTGCTCCTCCATTGACAAGCTTTCCTGGGGCTATCGGAGCAACATGAACATTGCTGAGTTAATGGATGAAGCAAGTATCATTGAGGTAAGAAATCTGAAATCAGAATAACAGGCTGGGGGGAGTTACCGAGAAGTAGAGTTTTCCTTTCTCCTCCTCCTTGCAGAAAGAGGTGTCATGTGTTTCGTACAATCAGGCTGGGGCTGAAGGAGCAGTTGAGGAGGACAGAACCCTCCTCAGGTTTCTTTGTTGTCAGGAGAGAAGGTAATGCCATTTGTTGCCTTGGTTTATCTGTTACAGGAGCTGGTGCAGACTGTGAGTTTTGGAGGCAACTACCTCCTCAATGTGGGACCTACAAAAGAAGGGGTGATTGTTCCCATCTTCCAAGAAAGACTCCTGGCCCTTGGGAGGTGGCTGGACACTAACGGGGAGGCAATTTATGAATCAAAGCCATGGAGAGTGCAGATGGAGAACAGCACAGACACGGTCTGGTAAGGGCTTCGTTGCTCGATACTATCTGGGCTGGAACTTCCAGAGCTGATATTGCTGTCTTATTTATTCTTAAATTCGGTACACTCTGCAGCGTTGCCATCAGGTGCAGATGGTGTTTATCCTACAATAGGAGTGCTCAGTTACTGCCCCATGGTGTTATTTAAGGAGTATCTTGCTAGAGAGAAGAGAATAAAAGTCAGAACTTCATCCATCTTGCTCTATTTGGAAAAAACCAACTCTTCCATTAAAAAAGCCTCCATGCTGCTGCTGTCAGGACTGTGTCAGTAGTGGTCCTGGCTAGTTGGAATTGCACAAATGCAGTTCATCTAAACACATATAGTTTGTAAATAGAGCGATATTTGCTTTTAAGCCGTTATATAACAGCACTAACCACTGTTACCCAACTGTAAGATTTATACTGCCTGAGAAGGGCCTAGAAGAGCCAAAAATGCTACAAAAAGTAGTTGTTTTTTTCCCCAGGGTGTTCAGTCTAGAAACGCGGAGCAGTGGTCAGGGTAAGGCAGCGTGTCCACGCTGTTGACCGCAAGCCGAGGCAAGGACAGATCGGCAAATGACATTTGCTTTCAGGAAGCACGCACGGACTTTGTTTGGGTTTCATCAGCCAGTGCTGACTGGCTAAATGGTGGGTCCAAAGTGACAGTTTTTGGAATGAGGGGAAAGTAAGTGACCCCTGTGCGGTGACAGCAGGCGGGACGGTGTTCTCCTGCTGTCTGGAAATGGCAAGCTCGTGTCTGGTTCTCTCTCTTGTGGGGCTCTTCACCTTGCTGACCTCTTGCTCTCTTAGGTACACTTCTAAGGGGCCAGTTGTCTATGCCATCTTTCTGATCTGGCCTCAGGACAACGTTTTGGAGCTGTCCTCACCCGATCCATCCCCATCCACACAAGTAAGGAACTTGGAATAAAAAATAACGCACTCTGAGAACACATATGGGCTGGGAAGGCCCAACCTGACGTCATTTGGAGACTGGGGAGAGCGTGGAAGATGTCATCCTGTACTTGTTCTGGGGTGCTCTGGCCTCCCTCCAGAGCCTTGCAGCATCCCAGGTTATTCTCCAGGCTTTAGCGCGCTGTTAACTCAGAACGTTGGGTAGGGCTTGCCAGGCCAGGCTCATGCTCTGCCGTACTATAGGCAGAGACACTTTTTCCCCAGAGTCTCTTGATCCTGTTGGCACAGGGAGGTGACGTAGATAGGCCCTTCTACACACAGAAGGGCTCACTGCTTTTACCTCCCAAATTCAGATCGGGTACACTGACCCGCTCATTGTAGATGCAATTCTAAGTGACGCAAATGCTAGAGTGGCCTTTGCTCTAGACAAACAAAGCTAAAGCCTTCTCAGTTAAAAAAAAACCAAAACAAACAACAAACTACAGTCAACTGTTTGGCCCCAAAATATCCCATGTGTTCCCTTTTGCGCGCCGTTAAGCGACGGGTGGAAACGTGCGGGACCGCTTTGGGTGCGGGGGAGCCGCGGGACAGAGACTGCAAGCCTGGTTTGGGCGTTTGGGGCGTTCAGGTGGGAAGTGCCGGTGTGAGCTACAGCTGAGTGTTCCCCTGCCCTCCTTCACAGGTGACCATGCTGGGCTTTGCAGGCACTCTGAAGTGGCAGAGGGCCCCAGGTCAAGGACTGCTCGTAACTCTGCCCTACATGCTTCCATCGCCTCTTCCTCCTCAGTCTGGCTGGGCTGTCAAGCTTGAGGGTGTGAAATGACGGCTGTGGGATGAAAGCAGCGATCTCCCCCTGCCACTCTTTTAAATTGAGTCCAAGATGTTTCATTTATTGTTGAATAAATTGTTTTTCTCTTAAGAGAATCTCTCTTCCAATCCTTTTGCCTGTAAGCGATGTGTCTGTCAGTGGCCCTTGTTTGGCAGCGAAGGACCGACCTGCCCCTCAGCAACGGGAAGCCGGGATGTCCTTTGGAGTATTCTGCTGAGATGCTACGGCCCGCGAGGCAAACACCTACACTGGGAACAAGGTTTCTTGGTGTAAAGCTGGGTCCTTGCGATGGTTATAGGTGATGAAGCTCGACGGACTTGGAGCTGGTGGGAGACTGAACAGAGTTAGTGTGGGGCAGTTAAGACGACCTGCTGCAGGGCGTCCGGCCAGGCCACGTAGCACCTAGGTGTTCGTGCGTGAAGCTGACAGATCACGGAGCCAAAGGGGAGGTAGACGTGTTAACAGTGAGAGGATTTGGATTGCCAGAGCAGCTCAGGATGTGGGGCAGCAGGAGCTGCGGCCGTGTTCACGTGCATAGCCAGCGCTGTTGAGCCAGGCTACGCAGGGCAGCAGGGTCCGCCCATCCTGGCCAGGAGCAGGCCCTGCTGCTTAATTACTCATGGCAATTAATTTGATAACCAGTGTGATACATGTGGAATCATGAAGCCTGGCTTGTGATGGGTGTGAATGGCTGAAGACCAACCCAGTGCCATCACAGATTGCTGTGTGAAGTGTTTGCATACGAACAGCTGCTCCAGAAGCTGCCTTGGTACTGGCTTTGGTATGGACTGAAGCAATTGTGGTTGTCTGCTTCCATCAGGAATATATGTATCCTGGGGGCTTGTTGTTTGAAGAGGTCTAGAAGAAACCAGCTATAATGTAATACAAATCCATTAACAGGCTTTTATGTATGTTCTGGTGGAGGCAGCTTTAAGCAGAAGTGGTTGTTCTCACATGAATTAGACACAGAAGCCACTTGGGAATCGAACCTCTGCTGCCTTCTGTTTCAGTGAGACAAGACTTCCTGCGTTGGTGACGAACTTCTCTAAAACCGTTGAACAACGTGTATTTAGATGATGAAACTCCTCCTAGTAGCGCGTTTCGGCCGCTCCGTTGTTGTGAAGGCCCCGCGACATCGCATGCAGGCTTCGTTACTGCACGATGGGGAGTTGCCAGAACACTTGGGGTTCACGTGTTGAGCTGGTGGTGTAGGAGCTGTTACTCAATTGACAAATAATGATCTGTACCGAGGAAGCTGCGTGGATTTCAGAGAACTGGCACCGACTGCCCGAGAGCCGCTCGCTTACGGGAGCGTCACCCCGGCGCCCGCGATGACGCTGTTACGAACACAGCTGGGGGGTGAAAGGGACAGCGGAGTGATGGCCTTTCCGTCTCCCAGCTCCATCACGCTGGGAACGGCTGGCGCGGAGAGGGAGCCCGGCCAAAGCAAACACGCCGTGTTTACTTAGCGGCACGCGCCAGCGGAAAAGC